TTCTATTCAACGAAAGGAGACTGCGACCACACAAAAGGCCACACCATCTTGGTCTTTATACCTTCGATAGCACGGATAGTTTTGGGGAAGCGATGCGATAGGTCGTGAACTGTTCCGAAAAAATGCATAGTTATAACTTTAAAATAGTCTAATTTATGAAATCACTTCCCGCCGCCTTTTCCAACGAGCTATAAGCCACAATAACGTGAGCTTGAATTCTCATTTTTGAACAGAAGATTTCAGCAAATATGAATTAACTCTGCGAGATGAAGCCTTCTAAATAACTAGATGCTATTTCAGAAATGACTTTCTGGGAATAAAAAGACTCAAAAAATCACTCTAGAAAGTGAATAAGAGCTTGGGTTAACATTGAAATATGCACAAGTTCTTGCAATACCATTAAACGTCTATTGGGTTTTCTTTATAAAAGACTTTCGCACCCGGGCTAAAGTGCAGTTTCGACCTCGTCTCATCTTTTCTTATTTTCCAGTTAAATTCTCGTAAATAGGGCAAAAGGATATTTTTCATCAAACTCGAATATACTGCTATCAATCACACAAGTAGCCATTGAAAAAAGAGTATATTGATAATTAAAACCCAAGTCAGCCGAAGTTGTCCAAAGTGACGCTAGGAAGGATAGCTGAATTTGCCAATGTGGAATGAATAAAAGTTTGCATAGAGCAGTTGAAGTCCATGTGACCTTATATTTAAGGGTTTAATCAGCTTGACTGGAATGTAGTTTTAAAACCTGGATGGCTTGATTTAAATACAGAATATGAAGCAATGCGTTACTATTTGCACCAGCATGTTGTGAAACGACATATTATGGCGAAAATATCAGTAAAAGGTCGAATTTAATGACGCTAGCATGCATTGATAGGTTTACTTGGCCTAGAATAGCTTGCCGGAGGGTTAGCACGTCCATTGTTCGAATCCTGCTTGTGGCAGAAATGAGACGAGAAAGCAAGTAGTAGAGTACCGGCAAGCCTGCATTCTAAAATCACTATTTTCTCATCAATCAATTGTGAACAGAATTGTTAACAATCTATCTAATACTATTCTATTTTTTTATGTAGCTTGCAAGGTTGAATGGAATGGATTAACAAAGTGGCTTGAGTGAAAGAAGAAGAAAGCTCATCTCGGCTTCATATCTGGCGATTTGGACTTTAAATTTATGTAATTCACCCGACTCCAGTTTGCTCTCTCACAAAAGACGAGTATTGGCTCATGCTGAAAGGTCCTACAATATGGAGTAGTCCAGTCTTGTTTCCACGTATCTGCAAATAAAGTGTTATTACCGGTACACGACGATCATTATAAATTGGTGTCTAGCGAACATATTCATGCTCCACATAGTTGCAAGGTGAGCGTTAGTAATTGCCAAATGACATTTATTTGTGTCGGATGAATGATAAATTGAGTCGAATGCAATTGTGATGCTTTGGCAAATGCCAATTCCTGACAAAAATGAACACTCTTGATCCAATCCAGTTGCATGCAGCAAGTTGACTGCAAATAGGTTAGTCAACACAAACAAACAAAAAAAGGAAAACACACACACGCATCCATGCTGTTCTCTCTTTCTCTCAGGCCGTCAATGCGCCAGCAATTGCTGCATGGATGCAGGCCCGCACAAATTGTCATCTACAGTCAACGGCACATACTATCAGTTAATTCTGAATAACAAGTTGAAATAAATTTTTATGATTACAAGTTTGCCTAATCGACACAATTACCACATCCGCCACGTGGCCTATGCTCCATTTGGCTGTGAAAATTCAAAACTTTCTGATAATTTTGCATGCTACTTTATTGGCACACAGTAGTATCACTGAGTGTTGTAGCGAATACTAGCTCGCCTCTTCGTCAACAATGCCACTGAATGGAAGAAGTCGGATTAGACGGTCTTTTAGAAGCGATGGGGTCGGCATCGTGACCATCTTTAAATCACTTTATAAATGAACCATACACAAATGCATACGTGCAAACATGCAAGAGACATAATGCGGCCTACTTTGGTCTGGTCTGTAAGCACTAGGATGGGGTTGAGATTTTCGCGTTTTGGAATCTCACGACGATTCAATTCATGCTTCCATCCGGACATGAGACTGGCCCGGAACTGCTGGTTGAAGGCTCCCGAGTAGGTGAGGAAGGCTGCCAAAAGAATAGAGTCGCCGGTCATCTCCACGACTTGGTGCTTCAAAAAGCGGCTCTGCTCGGTCCAACGCTGCTTCTCGCCCGACAGACCCTCAATCAGCTGATGCGCTGTCTCCATTCGCTGCTTGCACAAGTCTGCATCCTCTTGCAGCAGTTGTTTCTTGGTAACCGCTGTATCATACTCAGCCTGAACATGGGGAAACGAGTTGGCAAGGCAGATGGCAGAAATATTAGGCCGAGAGATTTGTATCGTTTTTACTTGTTCAGCTCATTACAGTTTCGTTGAAAAAGTGTGTGTCATGAAGGGAGTCGACGGTTGATCCAATCAGAAGACGAAGGGTAAAATTCTTACAACATGACCCATCAGCTGATCACTAATTGTTGTAGATACAAACTGCAAATCTGTACACTTCGATTGGAGGTGAAGTAATTCGGTTAGTTCAAGTCATATTTCAATCAAGAGACATGTGTCTACGAGTGTTTGCTAGTGGGCATTTTTGTACTGTTTAACTTACTTCCATTTCGAGTGAAAGTATTGCGTGAAGTGATTCGAAGTTCGGTTCCACCAGAAGACGACCAGCAACTAATTCTCCTGACCAGCTGGAACATTCATGCAGACGCTGTTTCAGAGTTGATCTCATTTGGTTCCGGTGAAAAGGTGTTACGCTTTCGTCCTTCATGTGATGAACATCGCCAGAGCAAGATAGCATCTTCACAACCAAATTGAAGCTAATGAACCTTCTTGACTCGTTGAGAGGTCAAAAGGAATCGGCCATCGTCTTCTGGTAGAATCAACCAACCACTTTCACTCGAAACGGAAGTAGGCTGAGCAATAATGCAAGAAGGGAGTCCTCGAAAGGCAACTTTTCTTTGCATCTTTATGTGCAGTCATGTGTCCGTGTATGCAGGAAAGAGACAGTGATAGCTCAAAGTAATTAGAACAGAAAATAGGTGGTCGTGTAGACTTAATAACCACCATGACCACCACTCTTTTTATTTCATAACTAATATTCCGATTGTGTTTGGGTAGGTTGATGGGATTTCCGGCTGTGTGAGGGAGAATTTGGGAAATGGGAAATGTGGAGAGGGTGATGGTGATAGGGACTATTCACCACATAATATTATCCGAGCCGCCTATATTCTTCACACTGCTCAGCACTCTTTCTATCCTTAATTCTCGCAATTTGGCATAAGTAGTCCATTCTTACTTGACACTTTATCGGTGTTTTGGAATTTATTGTATTGCATTTAGAATTCAGCAAAACGCTTGTGTCTTGTGCAAGTATACAATATCAAAAGATGAGTAAACTACCTAAAGAAGAAGAAGCATTAAAAGGAAAAAAAGAAGGAGAAGAAAGATAAGAAAGAGAAAGAAAAGGAGGAGAATAAGGAGAATAAGAAGAAAGAGAAGAA